CACTTGGCTAAAGCTGTTATAATGTGGGCAGCAAACAAGGTACAATACTTCAATTTTAGTAGGAGAATGTTCATATTAGGGATGCACCGATACTGTTTTTTCGGTATCGAGTACCCATATTTTTTTCGGGACTAATACCGATACATGAAGTCCCATTAAGGAAGCCAGGCAGCGTTTAAAGACTCGCCACTCAGCTTCCTGATTAGCAGGGAAGCCGTCTCCATGCTCACTTGTCACCAGGTGACTAGAAAGCATGCAGCCGGCTTTCTGTTCAATTAGGAAGCCCGGCGCCGTGTAATGACGTGTTGCCCGGCTTCCTGATTGGTTGAGAAGCTGGCCAATCAAGTAGCCAGGCAACGCCTCATTACACAGCGCCCAGCTTCCTGATTGGCCGGGAAGCCGGCTCCATGCTCTCTCGGCACCAGGTGACAAGGGAGCATGAAGCCGGCTTTCTGGCTAATCAGGACGCTGGGCGCCGTGTAATGAGGCGTTGCCTGGCTTCCTGATTGGCCGGGAAGCGGCTCCATGCTTCCTTGTCACAAGTGATGAAGGAGCATGGAGTCGGCTTCCCAGCCAATCAGGAAGCCGGGCAGCGTGTACTGACTTGCTGCCCTACTTCCTGATACCGGAAGCTCAAGTATCAGGCCAGGCATCAGAGCATTTGGGCGAGTACGTGTACTCGCCCAAATACTCGGCATCGATACTAGTATTGGTGCATCCCTAGTTTATATACATGTTAGAATCTCCTCGGGTGCTCTTTATATTAAAGTGACTAAACTTAAAAATGCATTCAAGTACCTTAACTATTAACAAAAATGTATCTTATTTGTGTATCACTCGGCTATAGATCCTCAAATCCCCTCTGAATTGGCGCTGACACTGTCCTTCCTTCTGGAGGGTGGCTACTTTTGTTCTCCATGGTCCCTGTGTGTGTTGTAAAGTAGCCACCGCTCCAAGCTCACTCCTGTGATGGACTACAATCTCACGTTTAGTTTACTAATTTGTATTGAAGTTATAGTCTATCACAGGAGTGAGCTTGGAGCGGTGACTACTTTATAACACACACAGGGACCATGGGGAACAAAAGTATCCACCCTCTGGGCTTCACACCTAATCCAGTGTGTTCCAGCATGGTTAGTGGCATCAACACACTGGATCACATAGAGCAAGCCTCCCTGCATTCTGGGGCAGGATGGGGCGTGGTGGTGCATTCAAGTCAATGGCACCGCATCCAAGCCTGCCGCCCCCACAGTGCGATTGCCTGCACCAGAACGCGTGGCACAGCAATGCCTGCGGTCCTCTCTGATCGCAAAAAGATCCAGAGGCATGGCTGCAGTGCCATTGACTTGAATGGCACCACCACTCCCCCTCCCGTCCCGGAACACAGGGAGGCTTTATTATGCGTTCCAGTACATTCCAGCCACTAACTGCGCTGGAACGCACTGGATTCGGTGTGAACAAGCCCTTCAGAAGGAAGAACAGTGTCAGCATGAATTCAGAGATGATTTGAGGATCTACAAAACACACAAATAAGATACATTTTTGTTAATAGTTAGGGTACTTAAATGCATTTTTAAGATTTAGCTCCTGATTTAGTGTTGCTTTAAGTAACTTGTATTTTACATTTAACTGTCATTTAAAGAAACACTGTTTCCTTGACCACCGAGGGCATAGCGCCAGTGTCTTTGTAAAGGGCCCTCCCTGAACCTCCGTTACTTACCTCGCCAGTGCTCCCTTTCCACTCCTTCCTCCAGCAAAAATACCCATTGCTTCTGGGTATGGGAGAGCATTATATCCACACCAGCCAACAATACCTTTTTTGGTGTCAGCTTAAACGCATGAAGGAGTAGAGTGAAACACTGCCAAGGTGAGTATCATGGGATATGTGGGCCTTTTACAAAGACACCGTCACTTTGTCCTGAATGGGAAAAGTTATAGTGTCTCTTTAAATTAACACAAGGGTTTCTTAATATGGTAAATTAGGCACACTAAAGAGAAGATAGCAAACAAGTACTTTATTTTAAATAAGTAGACATTGAATACCTTACAGAGCACAAAAAAAGCATTACTTTAATTTACAGTAAATTACCTAATCATTTATGTATTTTGCAATTTTACAAGCAAGTAATGATGGCAGGGCTTTCCCCTTTACACAGTAAGAGGGTGCCGCTCATTGCTTCCTGGACGTCTAGCACTCAAAGATTTAAGCCCTTCAGCTGTTAGTGGTAAGCTCCCTTACTGATGACATCTGAAGCAAAGATGACAGCACCTTTTGACTATAGACTGGATTCAGATTACTTTTGCAAATGCCTCTTTTTGAACATATTTGTGTATTTCAATAAAGCAAAAGATATTTGTGCTATATATATACATGTTAAAAAACATGTCAAGAAACTAGGCATTATTACAAGGAGACTTGAAAAGCATAACCTTGACTTGGCAGGACTATAATGGTAGCCCAGTGTCTTACAGCAGGTCATTAGATGTATTTAGGAAATACCTGGCCAAAAATGCTGTGGCAGCCTGAAGCATTCAGCTTGTTAGCTTTCTTTGGATGAGGAGAAAGCAAGAAAGCCATTTACATACAGCAGTGCTTTCCATTACAAGCACTGGCAGAGCTTTCAAAATGAAGCACTAATGTCCATTTAGAAAAATGATTACAATGGGTAGGTCTGCTTCATCTTTTCCCCTATCAGTCCTGAGCTGGGAAACAGGTTTTATGCCGACCTACTACACGCAACAATATATTACTAGGAGCGCTATATTTTAGAATGGCTGGATTTTAAATGATATCTCCGCCCAAAATTGATTTCTGTTGTGGAAGAAGTAGAATAGGGTTGGTTGTCTCTGAACCTTTGCTACCGTCCAAGTAAATTCTCCATATATTACTACTGAGATTCCAATAAGGCGTGAGTGTCATAATATTTTTATACCTCATACAATTTAGAGGATTTTCCGCAGCCCAGCAGAGCTAAGTATATCATGGCTTTGAAAGTGAAGTCTCATTGCAGGTCAGTAATTGCAGTCAGTTTTTTCCTTTCTTTCTGGAGGAAGGGGGGTGATGTGGGGCTTTTTAAAATCCTAGACAAATAAGTTACTGTGAGGAACAGTGCAAGAGAAAGCAGAATTTCAACTCCAGGATCAGAAACAAATAACAATACGTGAAGGTACCCATAGCCAAAGAAGTGCAGGAGGTTATGTGCATTTATTCCTATGATGGTGATGGTGATGGGCATTGGAACTAGATGCTGCTAGCAATGTTTATCGGGAAGGGGACAGCTGTGATTCCTAACCTCTATGACTGAAGTTACCTGCCTGGCAGGTTTCTGCCTCACTCCACAGAGCTGAGATTGTTACTCATAATGGCTAACTGTCATTTCAAGTCTATGGGTAGAAAAATATGTGTAACCTAATAAAAAATACATTTGAAATTACAGAAAACAATATAAGACAAAATAGATGGACATGAAAGTTGTAGTGGTGATCACATGGATGAACCATGAACACTTTCTGTCAAGTAAACAGAGAAAAATATATATTTCTACATGACAGAATATAGCCCACACTACAACTGAAAAGAGGGAGCCAGCTCCATTCCATTCACTGAAATATTAATAAATAGTTTAAAATAATACTTATCAGTAAATATTATTCTGATGATGTTTCATCCACTTGTTATATCCTTGCCTAAATGTGAGTTTTACAAATTCCTGTACTAACCGTTACAATTTCTACAACCTCCAGTTACACTGATAACTAATCACTAACACGGATATCTGGGAGTGTCTGCTTTGCCTTAGGTCACACATACTTACTACACTTAGGGTGGCCATTCACTGTGCGAATTTCATCAAGAACCGGCTGAAATTAGCAGTGTGTGTTGCTGTCGGACGACCAGAGCTGGCAGCCAGTGAGTTGCCGACTCTGTTCAGGTATTTTGACAGGGGCCGACGGCCACTGTCAGAATACAAAAGGGACAGCAGTGATTCCTCGATCAATGCACTCGTAGCATTGTTGGAGGAATCTGCTCTATTTTTTTTGGGTTCAGCCCACAGGTTGAACGAGAAAGCGTATAGCCAGCCTAAAGCTTCGTCGTTTTGATAATCATTCGTTAGCAATACCAACTCACTGAATATCATTGATCGACAGAACGGATTTTTGTTTGCACATGCGCAATGTTCATGTTGCGATTTTTTTCATATGAAACGTTTGAATCGGAAAAAAGTTTTCCAGCTTGACCAATTGAGGAAATTCGGCCAGGAGTACAGTAAAAAAGAATCGTTGGGTTCCCATCAACTGATCGATTATCATACGAAAGACCATTCGTGGACGATTTCCGAACGATAATTGATAGGTGTATGGGGACCTTTAGTTATATTAGCAGGAGACAAACATTGTCCTAAACGTATGCAGAAGCCTTTACATTGCAACCCAGCATTAGGGTTATAACAAGCTAAAATATTATGTGGATTTTAAGATTTTTCTTTTTGACAAACAGTGCATCCAAAAAACAATCTGAAGAGGCAGATTACATTTCTTCAGGCTTAATTGTTTTTTTTTAATTCTTGCGTTTGATAGAAAGGTAACAACCTTTATCCTAACTTCCTGCATATCAGGCAGTAAGTAGAATCTTTCTAACCGGAATCAGGGAGCAATTACTGTATACACTTGGTTTTAGTAGAGTGGAGAAGGTTTAGATCTACTACCAATTTTTTTATTGCCGTCTGTGATCCCATTTAGGGTGATTTACTTCACTTGCTGTGTGTACAACAAAGACAGGAAGTGAGGGAAACAGCATCACCTTAAAGGGGTTCTAACGATTTTATACGCCATTCAAAATTTTAATAACAATGTTTTGGCAACACTTGGGCTCTAAAAATACATCCTAATTTACAACAGTGTAAAGGAAGGTCACATATTCCAAATAGGGGAGTTTTGTGCTCATTTCGGAAATAAAATTCTTAGGGACTTATTTACCAAAGCATATCAAAGAAGAGCTTTGTTGTCCATAGCAACCTATTAGATCACAACTGCCTTCTTTATTGTAGAACAACCTATGAAGGAAATCATCTGGAGGCACATACAATTCTGCTTTCAGACACATTCATAGATAAGCTTCTGTGTCTGCAACCTGAGGACTTAAATCATGCTATATAACTAAAATGCATATTTTAGAAAAGTGTGATTCTGACATCTCTGCCATTACACCACAGCAAATACAGAATACACTGTGCTGCCATAAGGCAGAAAATCCATACCGTTGATATACAATATTAACAAAGAAATCCTTAAACAAGTGCTAAGACAGTTCAAAGCCAGTGTTCATGCTGATAGCATAGCGGAGCTTCTCTCTTAGGATCGTCTTCTTGCTGTAGTTGGGAAGTTTTAGAAGGTTGAAGCAGGTAGATGAAGTGGGTAGACGCCCCCCTGGCTCTCGTTTCCTAATAGTAAAAAAGCCTCGCAGCACACTGCCTAAGGTGTCTCCAGTATCCTAGAAAAGGAAAATGGTGCATGTTACTTTAGATAAAACTCTTTCTGGGCGCACTCCAAACAAATAAAACTGCTAGGAGGTATAAAGTGCAGGAACCTAGAGTTCCAAGTACATACCTCCACTCCTGAATACCAGCTGATCTAAATGGGCAAAGCTGCTACACTTTTAGGCAGTGTCAAACCTTGTCCACTACCTCCTACCCCCATACATGACACAGTCACTTCAATTAAAATTACATAAGTGATTGTGATACTATATTTAATGCTCATCACTAAATATGTGATTTCTGACTTACCAGTAAAATCTTTTTCTTGGAGTACAGGACAACTGGGTATTATGCAGGTATCACTAGGTCATTGGACACTCCAGAGGTGTGAGGACCCCATATAACCCCTCCCACTGCAAAAAATGCTCAGTTTTTTGGAAGTAAAAAGGACACAAAGGAGAGGGTCCTGTGTCCAGTACTGTACTGTACTCTAAGAAATGGATTTTACTGGTAAGTCAAAAATCCTATTTTCTTGATCGTACAATACCGGACACAGGCAGACTCAGGGACGACTGGCACATCCAAAAGAAATACAGGAGAGGAGTAGGCAACACAGAAAAACCACCACCAACAGGCCCACATAACAAATGGGGAAAACTCAACTCAGACAGCAGCCCGCAGCACCTTATGGCCAAAACCAGCATCAGCAGAGACCTGAGGATCCACCAGGTAAAACTTAGTAAACATGTGAACAGAAGACTAGGAGGCCTTACAAATCTGCAGATAAGATGATTGATGCTGAAAAGCCCAAGAGGCACTGAATGATCTAGTAGAGTATGCCTTAACAGGAAAAGGCAAAGCCTTTCCTTTAGCAGAATAGGCATGCACAATGACCTGTCGAATCCACTGAGATATGGTGAAACAAAATGCAGGAAGCCCCCTGCAAGTTACTTCAGAAGAGACAAAGAGCTAATAAGATTGTTGGAAAGCAGCAATAGAGGAGAGGTAAACTCAAATGGACCGAACCATGTCTAAGCAATGCAAAGCAATCTCCTTAGGATGTATTAGAGCAGGAAAACCTGATGGAAGGACAATGTACTGATTAGGATTAAATGAGATCACCACCTGAGAAAAAAAGGAATCATTAGGCCTAAGAACAACCCTATCCATGTGAAGCATACTGAGAAACTAATAACTTCTCAGGATCCTGCCAATCTGCATAGAGCACTTACTCTACCGGGTAATGTGTCAAAAAGTTCTTAGCGTGCTTCTTTTTCTTAAGGGAACCCATACTGATGACCTTAGGGTGAGCCTGTACAGGTGGGTCAATGGCCAGATATTCTGGAACCTCATCCATAAGTACTGAAATGGTGTCACACAGTTTTGGCGCCAAGAGCACCAAAAGGAGTTCCTTCTGATTGGAATCATCAGTGTCAGTGAAGATAAGCACCTTCATGTCCTCATCTTCCTCCTCCTCCTCATCAGGCATAGGCGGTAGCCATGGATGTGTCCAACAGCAAGTCAGAAGGTGAAGAAGAAGGTAGACTGTGTTTTCGCCCTCTATGACTGGACACCTTAATCATGGCAGAAATCTGATAAAAACGGACAATGAGGCTACAACATTTTCCTTGCTAAGGCAGAAAGAATGTGGTACTCTTGACAGGGCAGTAGACACATCAGAAGCAGAGTTCCTGGGGGAAATCGCTGGCAACCCCATGCACCCATTGGTAGCTGTGGAGCTAACTATACCTTTTCCCCCAGACCCTTTGCATCTAGCATCTGAAGGATTAATCTAGATCCAAGGTCCCTGAGTGTCCACCGCCAGAAGTTGCAGTTGGCCCAGGAGTCTATCACTGCTGCAGCCTGTGCCCATGTGTACCTAGCGGGCTAGTCTGAACAACCAACCCTGCCCCCCCCCCCCAAGGTTGGACACTAAAGCTGTTGTCATGGAGCAGCAATCCAGAAGCTGCAACGTCGCTTGCATGGCTGGACGTAGCAGGGACTTGATTGAAATCACACAACAAAAAGGTAAGCTAAATCACACACATCTTCATTCAGTAGAGAGGAGACATCCATCACCTCAGGACATTAGCAAACAAACTGAACATTTCTGAAGTACAGGAGTTATATGGGGGTCCTCACAGCTCTGGCCACTGTCCAATCACCTGACAATACCTGCATATCACTGTACGGTCAAGCAACATACATTAAATAGTTTTTGCCATTGCTGGGCTGACAAGATCTCTACTAACACTGCTAATAACTTTCCAACTAAAATCATCCAGTCATGAAACTTGGGATGTCTATTAATGAAAAACTGCTTTGGTCTATGTTCATAACCTTGTGAAGGCAAACTAAAATAATAGCAAACCTTTCGAATATTTTCAATAAAAATGGAAAACCCCTTTAGCAGTAGAATACTGTATAAGACAGTATGTTGCAAGACACATTTTATAGCTATAACCTGGAAAGGAGAGGATGCAGCTACTCCCATGCATGGAAGACTGAATAGTGGCTGCCATTCCCACTGCAATTCTGTAAGAAATCAGGGGCCAAATATTAATATGGTGCTTATGTCCTGAGTGTGAGCAGGGTCCATTGTATTTTTAAACAGACACTGGGACATGTGTGGAAGCTTCAAACCCACAGAAGATACAAGGACACAATGGGCAAGGTATGATAATTACATCATATCAGAGGTCATTTTAATCTTTGCTTGGTGCAGTGTAGATAAACTAGTGTATTAACTAGTATCTCACCTGATCATCTGATACTTCTACACAGCGAATAGAGAATGGTGGTTTGAGGTAGGCAAAGCCAAGCAGAGGAGGGCGGGAACAACTTGTGATAAACTAAAAAAAAAAGAAGATGATGTCATAAATGCATAGGTAAATTATGTGGATAGTATTGTGAAGCCTGTCATACTTTCATACCTTTAGAAACATGGCTTTTTCCTCAGAGGTAAAATCATTGGCTAGAATATCCCACAGCCAAATAATGACTCTGTGACTGCCATGGAACCCTCCATAGTACACTGTGTGCTTTCTGTCAACAAAGAACATGTTGAAAAAACAATGTGAGTATATACAAAATGAGATATCAAAATGGATAATACTAGGGTAGCAAAACTGTCGCATCAACATATCACTGGCAACTAAAGGGTTAAAGACCAAAAGGGAGCAAATAAGGTTATTGTTAGAGTTTAGACACTTTAATAGATTATAACTAGGGCTGTTACTGATTAAAATTTTCGTGTTCGATTAATCGAAATTTTTTTAATCGATTAATTTTGATTAATTATAACGCACATACACAGCAATGAAGTAATAAAATGAACTAGGATCACACTAATCCAGCACGTTATGAATCTCACGTGCCCCACTCAATATGGCCGCCGCTTGAGTGGGGCAACTCAGAATAATAACGTGCTGGATTAGTGTGATCCTAGTTCATTTTGTTACTTCATTGCTGTGGTGTATGTGTATAGAGCAATGCCGCGGATGGCGCTCGTGCAGAAGAACTTTTTTGTGCAAACCTCTTAGTTGTATGGAAAGAGGAAGTCAGGCGGTCCCAGAACTCGATAAGTTTGAACTTTCGATCGATCACCGGCCCAAGTGGCTCCGTCAGCTACCGAAGGGAAGGGGGGAGGAGTCCGGTGACATCACGGACATCGACGTCACCGGACTTCTCCCTCCTTCCCTTCGTTAGCCGACGTCACCGGATCTCCGACGGGACTCCCGGAGATCCGTTAATTTCCGCAGCCCTAATTATAACACATACTTGATTTTAGTGCGACAGTGGGAGAAAATGAAACCTTGCTTTGAAAAGATTACAAGTAGGGATGCACAGATACTTTTCGAGTGCCAGTGCAGATACCTGGCATTTTCATGAGAACTACCAGGGTTGCAGCTGGGACCTGGCTCTGGCACTCCACCAATGTCCTGAAATCATTAGTCTGTATTGTTTTAGAAAACTGTCACATGACAATAAACAAAAATGTATCAGTACTCGTACTTGTAAGTACTCGGCAAGTACCAGTACTCGTACTCGCAAAACTGGTATCGGTGCATCCCTTTATTTATATTTATAAAAACAAAATCGTACATTAAAACAGAGATGTACAAATCCCGGGAGCTCCGTGTGCGCCTTACACATGACAGCTGCCTCATAATTTTTGAACTTTTCTCTAGTGTAGTCTTGGAGCTCAAAAGTATCGGTACTTGTACTCGTACTTGCACCGAGTACTGTACTTGGTATCTGTGCAACCCTAATTACAAGTATTATGTAATGATAAATACCTCAGTGGCATAAATGTATTTAACTTACTTTAGATCATCCAGGTCAATCTCAGCATTGTCCCCTGATATAAGACGCTGGAGTTCTGGAGCAGAAAACATACGGATCCACTCAGGCCGGATGATGGAGCGAAAGCCACTGATTAGCGCAGCTGTCTGGTTTTTAATTTGCGTGTGCATGCGAAAGTGAGCCATGAGGTGGATGTAACTTATCCTGAAGAATAAACAGAGTCAAAGATCAAACAAAATAGTTAATATCAAGTACTAAACTGATGTGCGCTCTTACAGTGCATGCCACTCTCCCCAAGTGCTTTTAAAGGGAAATAGTCATAGTTACATAAGTAGTAAGGATGAAAGGAGACATATGTCCATCAAGTTTAGGAAAGGGTACTTGTGATAATCTCAATGTTCATTCCTAAACTGTTTAAAAAGGATAGATATTTGTCACTTAAAGGAGAACTATGGGGTTAGGGCTTTTCCCCATAGTTCTCCGAAAGGTAACGGGAACACACAAACTAGCCTCCTCCCGTTACCCAAAGCTCAGTATACTGCGAGCTGCAGCTCGCGGTATACTGAGGCGCCGCAGCTGAAACGGATCCCGACAATTGTGTCTGCATCCGCCCAGCTGCGTGAGTGACAGCTGGCTCTGCCTGTCTAGAGGCAGAGCCAGCTGTACCCGCCCCCTCCCCCGTTTGTTCCGCCAGTCAGCGCTGGAGGATCGGACCGGACAGGGGAGAATCCAGTCACTCCCCTGTCAAGGCTCTCTGCAGTGACAGGATCGAGAAGTGAGCGAGCGCCGGTATGTGTTCACTCACTTCCCGATCTACTGAACCGACCTGTGACAGTTTCATTGTCACAGGTCGGCTCATATTATGAGGCTGAGTGAAAAGCACTCACCTCATAATTCTCCTTTAAATTCTTCTGGATCTTCCACTTCTGTTTTGAAAGTCAGCTGAAAGGCCCTACAGCACGTACAGATTTTCTCTTGTGCTTTTGCTCCATGTGGCTCCCATGCAAAAGCCCCAAATGCTTCAGAGTGTATGGCCAAATCTAAAAAAAGATCCAGCAATCCCATCATTGTGTCTCAGTCAGAGTGGCTGAGGTTCAGGAGGGGATACTGCCGCCTACTAGAATGCAGTTCTTTTTCTTTTAATCCCAATGGATCCACATGTTTGTGGCGCTATCCGAATCTTTGCAATCATCGCGTTTGACAAGCTATATATTTTTTGCCATATTGCAACACAAAGCATTGCAGTCACGGCAATGTATACAGCCCTGCTTAGCCACAGTGCTGGCATTGCAGCAGGTGAATAGGGGCAGTAAAACAGCCGCCTGGTTTTGCCACTCATGTGAGCGAGGCCTAAGTGACATTGTGCACAATAAACTTGAATAGCAGTCAGTTCTAGTTCAAATGTCCTCACTTACTTGTTCTCATTGGAAACAGTAATTGATTTCCCTCCTGGGACAAGTTCATGACACACCAGCTGATAAAAACAAACATATGATGTTAAAAAAAATACCCCTTTAAGCATCAAAGTAAACTGCAGTTTAAAACTCATTTCACTTTTCAACTGCATCTGTAGGGAAGGAGGGGGTGAGTCACATCTTTGGCTCATTCACTTTTGCTAGTACATTTCATCTTGATGCAATGAGCTCTGTTAACAACAGCCATTTTACAACAGCGGGTAAGGAGAGACGGAAAACATGTGAAAGGAAGCCAACAGCCTCTCCTGCTTGCTGGGTGTAAGAATACTGACAAGGTTATTCACAAAATGGGTGAAGAGTTTGGAGAAGGCAGGAGAAGTGAACAATCTAGGACAAAAACACTGGAGCTTTACTGAAACCATCTAATACTTGAAAAAAATTCAAGCTAGCAATGTAGTTGGGGTTTTGTCCAGATCATTTTGAGTTGTGCTTTTCGTGTATCAAATTTTGTGATAAATTCATTTACAACAATATGATGGAGTATATTGTTGGCTGTATTATTTTGTGTCTATCATACAAGATTATTACTGCACTAGACGTATCATGTTGCTGTATAACTTCATATAAATGTTGTTTTATGTAGACCAATATGTCTTGGTTTGTTTTCTCATACATGTGTCATACATGCATTGATTCAGTCCTCTGGATCTTTCCTGCATAAACGCGGATGGTTGTTCATTGTGTCTATCCTGTATTTTTACTCTATAAAAATGCATGAAATTCACTCTAAAAAAAAAAAAAAAGATGGAACTTAAACAAAAAAAATATATACATGTGGAATATTTCATATTTACCTAAATTAAAAAAGTCGGTACCCACCTGTCCCATTACATCTTCATCATATGAAAGCGTGAGGCCCAGGTCACTAATATCTCCATCATAACGCTGCAAAACACAATTGTATTAAATCAGAGGGAAGCAAGGTACATGCATTTTATGTCTGTCCCTATTAATTCTAATTCATTCCTGTAATTACGACACGGATAAATGAGAATTGTTTTATAACAAACCAATGCGACTATAAACTAAGTAGTGTTCACCTTAGTGGGTTTATGTCAGGTGCTCTGCACAGCTGTTTTTTGTATCTATTTGGCAAAAACCCCCTCTGAAGAAACCGGCAGAGCCTGTTCCTACCCCTCAATCGTGGTTCCTGGACTCACCTTGCTCCTCTAAGTGCCGAAAACTGATGCAGAGGGAGTCAGAATAGAGAATTTGTAGGAGATTGGTGAACTAAGATTTGCAAACAGCAGATTCAATATACATTGACTACAGGAAGAATGGGTCTACAAGAGTACTCATGACTGCCCACGGAGTATCACATACTGGAGGTATCAGCCTATAGGTAAATAATGTATAAAACTTAACCACCCTCCTTTCCACATACACATAATAAAGACAGAGATATGAAAGCGCCTAGAGATAGAAAAATTATTACATTTTATATAAAATGATAAGGTAAAGATTTACCACAGTTTTTTTCTGTTTTGCAAGTGCACATGATTTTAAGCCTAGACCTCTTTGGGTATTTATTATAATAAATGGAAAATTAAGAGATTATATTTGTAATTACAAGTACTAGAAAATGCAGATTTTTTTGCTGAAAATATATATGATTTAATCAACATTTAAACAAGGTTTCTATTTCTTGGTGATTGCACACTTCTTTAATGATGTATTTTTTGGATCTTCCAGTTAATTTTCCATCCACCGCTGCAAAAAACAATTTGTAGGGATAACACTGGATTAGGGTATGACATAGCCCTCATCTGATCAAGAGATACAAATAATCACGCTAACAATCAGTTTCAGCTAATCTAGAAAGTATTGTAGGTATTATGTAGTACTGACCTTGATGGATGTGAGGTTCTTATAGAACTCAGAGTCCAGTGAAGGCAGCTCATCCACTGAGCTATAAAAAATGCTGTGATGATGCCCTAGCAGCTGGCTCATGAAGAATGAAGCAAAGGGGACATCTACTACAATACCCTAAAATAAGAACATGTTTGAGTTGTCATTTTAGAAGATGTTCTTATGCTTTTTTTCAATACAGGCATCTCACAGGATAACCTACCTCATACACTGCCTTTCCCAGCATCTTCCCTACAAACTCAAACAACTGGAGATAGTTTTCATGGATATACGAAGTAGGAGATGGGTATAATCGATCTCCAGAGCTTGTAGTCTGCAAAAAATAAAATGTAACAAAGGTGATAAAGGTAGCAATAAAGTGTATCAAAACCCTGGAGAGAACATGTATATATTGCAGCTTTCCAGTCCTTAGATGTGGTGTCTGCATTAGTTTTTTTTTCAGGCTTTTTACATTTTATTTTTACCTGGTGATCCTGCCAGTATAACATGTCCAGTCCTAGAATGACAACACTCATTCACTATACTGTATCTATTGCAATTGTGTATAAAATCCATGCTTTTGGTGTTTCCTTTCAATGCAATGTGTCAGCAGCAGTGAAAACAAGTGAAGCCTAAAGTCATTCTTTACAATTCTAAGACAAAGTAATTGCGCTAACAAAACTTACAACTTATACATAAATATGCAAAAACAATAAAGTGCCTAGTGATAGCCCCAACATAATATGCAACCTCCCCTATAGTTAAACTCAATACAATCTCAAAACTGCATGTGCAATGTGTTGTGATCCAGATCACATGTGCAACTCCACATCAACTGAACATTTGCACTGTATATATTGCTAACATATCCTCTTGAAGAGCCCTTTTTTGTTTTTGTTTGAGACCAATTTGTGGAGTTACACATGTGATCTGGATCACAACACATTGCACATGCAGTTTTGAGATTGTATTGAGTTTAACTATAGGGGAGGTTGCATATTATGTTGGGGCTATTGCTAGGAACTTTATTGTTTTTGTATATTTATGTATAAGTTGTAAGTTTTATTTAGCGCAGTGACTTTGTCTTGATACTGTATCTATTATATCTGCTGAAAAGATGGGTACCACATCCCGATAGATCAAGTTACAGAAAACAAATAAAGATGGACATTCTATGTTATATCAAAATACAAAATGTATTAACATTATACTAAAAATAAGTAAAACATTATATACAAGCTATATATCACTTAGCCTCCACTTATAAGATCAGCTTCAAATATAACTATCCCCATCACCACCTATTTGATAAATGATTTCTAACTATTATATAAAAAAAAAAATCCAGATTGTATCATTATCACACTATCTAATAGGCGAACAGTGGAGATGTCTGTAGCTTTAGCCAGTGTGTGGCTATTAAGATATCATATGGGCGAGCACAGGGATACAATCAGCAGGGCTCCAGGCCAATAGACCCACCACAGACTGCTCTCAGTAATATTATGTGGGGTCATTACTTAGCTGCCCCTTCAGGGCTTGTTCACACCAAATCCGGACCACATCAGCATGAGTTTCTGCATATGCAGTGCAGTAGATTTTGCCGTGTTTTTGCCGCGTTCCGAGCCGTTTAAAAAAAAAATTATATATATATATATTTATTTTTAGCCTAAAATGGGCTTTCAGTGCGTTCCAGGGCGTTTGCATGCGTTTGGTGCGTTCCAGAGCAGAAAAAATAGGGCATGCTGCAGTTTTTCCACATGCTCTGGAACTTAACGATGTGGTGTGAACTAGAGCCCAAAATACCATTGGAATACATTGGATATTTGGTGCGTTCTGTAACTGCTCTGCACCTGCTCCGCACTTGGTGTGAACTAGCCCTCACAGAGTCTCCTCAATTCGTAGTCCTTTAGGTGAGCTTATAATAAGAATAGGTGTACTTAATCAACAACAGATATGCCGTATTGGGTAAATTGAACACCCTCCAAATGATGTACCTATGGTGGTATTTCTCACAATGTAAAGCAAATCCACATTTCCATACTTCGATAATACCTCAAATGACTCTCTGTTTAGTGTAAATGCGGGGAGAGAGAGCCCACCTCCTCCCCACACAAGTCTGCAGTGTGTTAGGACCCTTACGTGCACTTTAACATATAAAACTTACCCAGATATACCTAGATATATTTGAAGTACCTTAAACAGATTCAGTGCTGGATCAAACACCTTCTTTATAATTTCTTCCAAAAATTCCTTAAACACACCATCCTGGTCTATTCCGGCTTCATCAACCCCAAGGTCATTGACAAATTTCACTCTGATGACACCTTTCATGGCATTTTGTGACAACTGCCTCAGCTGGTCATAACCATCCTACAAAATGAAATTTGGACAGTTATAGCAAAAAACAGCATACTGCATAACTAAGCCTTTAAATATGTTTTTGGATCTAGAAATGCATTGGGGGGAATTTATCAAACCTGAAGAAGACAGAATCTGGAGCAGTTGCCCATAGCAGCCAATCAGATTCTCTCTTCAGTTTGTTCAGTTACATTTTGAAAGTGAAAGACAGAAGCTGATGGTTGCCATGGACAACTGCTCCAGATTTTGTCTCTTCCATTCCGTTAATTGTTTCTTCTCGTGTACTTCTGCACTCTATAGAACCATAATCATCATCTGAAACACAACATATAGCAAACAATGAAATGATTAAGCACAGTATTTCATACATACATTGCACATCGTATGTTGCACACGTATAGTCAATAGTTATAGTTCCGTATAATGAAGTAAAAAAGTTCAGACTTGAGACACTTATTATAAGATACAAGACTACAACATGTCAAGGCTTTCAACTTTAAAAGGACCAGTAATGATGTCACAGGTCCTTCCTCCTCAACTCTGGCAGTGGTGGACGGCCCCTCACTTTTGCACTGTACTATTGTTTAGTGCAGTATTACAGTGAGCCCAGGCTGCCATGATGCCACACCCCACTGGGCTCAGAAAAACTTTGTTGAAAATCCATGGCTGTCCTTTAACCCAAAAGACTGGCAACATCTAGTGACAATTTGAACACGGATAAGGGTAGTTAAAATGGTTACTCTTTATTACTAATAATTAAATCTTCTTTGGACAAAAAAAAAAAACTTGCTGCAACCAATAGGCAGTGTTATAGATTGTCCCAGTCCACACAACTGGCATGTTTGCTGGATAGCTTTGTTGTAGGTACAGTAAATGTGGAGAAAAATACAAACAAAGGCAAGCCGGGTTAAAAATAAAATGATATACCGAGATACTATCATTACATTTGTTAACCACATACAGTTATCAAAATAATTAATATTTCTGTGATAGTGTTCCTTTAAAAAAAAAAAGAATCCTATGGTATTGTTACTGACAAAAAAAGTGAATAATCATTGGCTTGTTTTTCCGAATATGGACTTACCTCCAACATACGTGACCTTCTGATAGTGATGTGAGTAACATGTGGAGAGGCTGTGGTTGTTTCCACCAAACCCAGCTTCTCCTTTTCCTTAGTTACTATATTTCGGAACAAAAGTACTCTCTACAAGAAAGAAACAATCACTTGTAAGACTGGTGAGCATCATTAACTAGTTCCCCATTGGAGCAATTTTTTTCATTATTCGCACACATTAAAATCTGCATTTTTGGCTAGAAAATTCATTAACCCTAAAAGATTATACATTTTCTGAAATGTATAATAATCTATATTTTCAGAAAAAAATATACTAAAACGAACTTTAGGGCACACAAAAATAAAAGATGAAGCTGTGTCGCAAAAGCAGATATCAAATATGTCAAGCCTCAAAATTGTGTGAGCCCATGATGGTACCCTATTTATCAATAGGCAAGGTTTTAAATACCTGTATAACTCATCAGCAGGGCTTGAAAAATGTTAGGGTGTCTCACCAGTCAGTCAAAAATTCCACCAGTCAGCATGACCGGACCATAGCCTTGCAATTCATCTTAACACTTTTTAGGGACACATAGAGCTTTCTGTTGGAGGTATATAATCACCACTGGGTTTTTTATATTTTTTACTATATAATGAAAAAAGTATCGTAAATTTCGAAAAAAATTAAGGTTTTCTCTACATTATGTTAAAAAACATTTATTCTTACCCATATTTTTGGTAAAATATAAAAGACGGGATCACGTCGGGTAAATAGACACCAAACATGTCAAGCCTTACAATTGCACGCGCCCCGCACAAGCGCAAAAAACAACCACACCGAAAATTGGCCATAGGCGACGCTTTAAACACTTTTACTGCTCATCAGTTTACTGTTATCAGTGATTAATGGCCCTAAAATCATTGCTCTCACTGCAACGTTCGTGGTGATATGTAAAATGTGCGGCACAATAGGTGCAATTGTCGTTTTCGCACGTAGGCGCACCCGAGGCATGTTTGTGTGTGTATGTGGGGGGGAGGGGCCTACATTTTTTTAGTGTTTTAATTTTTTTTATGCTTCTTTCATTTTTTTATTACACTTAACTTTATTGCTATCACTTAGTGGGTTAATAAGCTATCTATGTGATAGCCAATTTACATGAAAGGTCCTCTTTATGGAGACATCAGGAGTCTCCAAGACCACTAATGTCACCTAGTGACCCCCAGAGAAGCTGAAGAAGCAGAGATCAGCTTCAGCAGCTTCTCACTAGCATCTGTAGCTGGGAATGACAGCTGAATGTGGAAGTGAGGTAACATACATCACTTCCTGCATTCAGTGACAAGAGAGGAGATCAGAGGGAGATCGTGTACCAATCTCCTGTGACAGAGCTGCCGTGCCGGTCTCCGCCGCACCGGGCACAGCAGATCTCGGGAGCGGCAACGGCAGTGACAGCGGCGGTGGGGGTAAAACCGCTGCCAATACAACCGATCGGGCGTCTCTCACTGTGTGCGTGGTGATACATAATGTAGGGCTGCAACCAACTAATTGATTAATCGATAATGAGAATAGTTGTCAACTATTCTCATTATCGTTTAGTTGGTTGGATCACCTAGCTCTCTCCTCCACACTGGGAGGAGGGCACAGCAAGCACTGGGCGGGTGCAATAGCCAGCCTGCTAATGCAATTTGAAATAGCCAATAGCAGGCTGGCTATTGCACAGGCCCACTACCTGCTGTATTTACATTCAGCTGCCGTCTGTGGAATCTTGCCACTGGAAGCTGTCATTCCCTGGCTGAAGGTATTCAAGCGCCATGTGCCTTATAATACAATTATAAAAATCGAAAAAAAAATCGGCCAACTAATCGATTATGAAAATAATCATTAGTTGCAGCCCTAACACAATGTGTGTTTTGCAATCATTTACATGCATGTGCACCCCCTACATGTGCAATAGCATGCATGTGTGTGTTGCGTTACTTTTCTAACAGCTCCGAAACAAAAGTGTACAGAGCTAAGTGTTTCCAGGTTCATGCACTGCATAGGACATTGGGGAATGGGATCATAGGAGGAGCAGGAGAGCTCAAAAACAAGGGGGGATATGGTGGTTGCCTCCCTATTACATAAAAGCTCTGTGTCTGCTGCAGAAAATAAAAACAAGTTCACGACCTCTCATGTGGCCCTGAACCTGTTTTAACCACTTCAAAGCCAGACACATCCAAAGAACTTAATTGTTTAAGTTAGCTGTGTCTAAATCCAAGCAGCTTGGATGCAGACAATGACACTTACATTTTTGTGTGGGATGACATGAGGGATGTATTGAAGCAGGAGCTGGGCCCTCTTTCTCTCCTTGTCCAGTTCTTGGAAAAGCACACCAGGTTTTAGATCCCTGGAAAAGCACAATTGCATTAATTAGACCAAACCATGTGCACATCATTCATGCAGAAACAATCGGGTTGATATCTGTACTTGTTAAATACGTTAACATTTAGTTTAAGTATTAAAATACTTTATTATATTTCAGTACAATAAGTCCCCATTCACACCTAGGCGTCAGCGTTTCCCGCAAATTTTCCCTTTAGATGCACCACAACTTTAGATGCACCACATGCCACGCATCACATGCACATGTTTTACCTTTGCTGTCCTTCAGGGATGGAGGGAAAGATTCCCATTCTGGCCAAATCTGGCAAGCAATTTGCATCCAAGCCTGCCTCCTCCTTCCTCTGTTTTTATAAAGGGGGTTGTGCAGGTCATACAGGCATGGCTGTGCCTGTATTAGACTTATAAATGCCTCAGAATCAACATTTTGCAGACATGAATCAGCCATTTTGTTTCCCAGTGTGCTTTGCAGGTGGTCTTCCACAATGTATATGCGCCTTAAAAACATGCGTTCTTTTTGGCGCGTTTTCCATTGAAATCTATGGAGCACAAACGCGCTGAATCTGCATGAAAGAAGCTCATGCACCTTTTCCAGCGTTCAGTGTTTTTACAGCTTGCTGCTAAACTCTCAGGTGTGAACAGGGGCCATAGAAATGAATAGGAATTCTTGTGTTATGTGTCTTGACGCTTGAGCTTTCAGCGTCAAAACGCCCAATGTGAACAGGGACTAAGTGAACATGTGTCTTAATCTTCAATCAGTGTTATTTTAAGCAAATGTGTGATGAGAAAATAAATTTGTCATTGTTGGCCCCTGCTATAAATACTGACTGGCTTTTATGCTGAGCTTCTTTGCTAAATCCTTTTTGATTCACTGACCTTGACCAAGTATACAGATAAGAAAAAGCAAAGTCAGAAGTCCTTATCTGCATGTTTGTTCCTGGTTCAAAGTAGGAAGCATGGGGGTCAGCATGACAGACAGACAGACAGACAACCAATATTTACAGGCGAGTTTAGCAATGGCAGCCTCCATGTCTCCTTTAACAATCTTCAATAAATAAACAATGTATACTCTATAAGCAGTTATGAACAAGGATTAGCACATATCATATACACACACTCACTTTCGCAGCCAGTGATCCTCTGGAGCAAATCTCCTACGGCAATCTCTTTCATACAGAACCATTAGCCAGCCGTGCACAGAGTGAAACAGCTCTAAAGTTTCTCCATTGGCGTTCTCTGTAAAAAAAAAAAAAAAAAAGCAAATACATATATACCACTTCCTTGACAACATAATTATATTAATTAGAAAGAGCATATTGACTTTTTTTTATCTTTCTTACCGAGGATACCATCCCAGACCATCTTGAATACGAAGGAGTTGAGAAAAGAAGAGATAGTGACAAGTTCTTCCACTTTGAAGGAGATTTGCTCTTCATAGACCTCAATGTCATCCAAAATCCTATTACACAGAAGAAAACACACTAAAGAAACAGCCAGTGGCTTACTGTTTTACTCTTTTTTTTTTATTATTGCTATGAAACACGGGAACCAATCCCTCAATTATGCTATATTAGATTTTAAATTGATTATGGTTAGCTCAATCATGATTTTGTCTTTTTGCTTTCTTCATTATATATGAGAATTTAGTTATAATCAATGATTATATAGCTATATCTATATCTAATATATACACACACATAGCACACAAACATATAATTTAGTAACATTTTGTATTTTACACTACTTTCCTAATTCCAATAAAAAAACATGGTTTCATTTAAAAATGTCATCAACACATGATCCATAATGCATAAACACACAATGCTCACGTAATGAGGTGCCTGGAACAATCACAGAAGAGCACCAGCATAGCCAGCAGTCTGCGGGACTCCTCTGTGTCATTACTTAAACACTCAAGGAAGAGTTTCAATCCTCCTTGCGGTCCCAACTCACAAATGAATGCCCACAGTTTTGGCAGGAGATCATCCAGATAGGTTAGACCTAGTGATAGGATAGAAGACCATTAGAATTCCTAAAACACTGGCAACAGTTTTTGAAACACAGTAACTGCTTCCAAGAACAACGTCACGATTGCCTGGTTTCATTGTAATATTTCAGGAATTAAAAGCTACAAATCACCAGCCTTCATCTTTTTTCCTAGAACTCTATGAACACTTAAACAACTTAGGGTAACGGGAGGACACAAACTAGCGTCCTCCCGTCACCCTAGGCTCAGTATACCGCGACCTGCAGCTCGCGGTATACTGAGACCCCGCAGTATACCGCGAGCAGAGATGCCGCAGCTGAAGCAGATCCCGACAATTGTGCCGGGATCCGCCCAGCTGCATGACTGACAGCTGGCTCTGCCTATCTAAAGGCAGAGCCAGCTGTACCCGCCCCCTTCCCTTACGTTCCGCCAGTCAGCGCTGGCGGATCGGTGGTGAGTGAAAAGCACTCACCTCATAGTTCTCCTTTAAAGGCAATCTGTAGGAATACTTATACACAGACATAGAGCAAACCAATTCTTCCCAACAGCTCATGGCTAATGGTTCACCTAACCTAAAACATTTATTGCAAAATAAAACAGTCTAGTGGTATATGGCTACAGTTTTAAACTATTGTAACTTTAGACCGGAATGGTTCCCAAAGGAAAGGTTTTGTGATCATGCCAGCAAAATGGTACTAACCAGTGAGGATCTGTAGCCGGATTTGTGTGAGAGTAGTAAGTGCAGTCTGGTACAGAACACAAATATTGCACACTTTTTGGACTTCTTGGGAGTCCACTCTTTTGCCTCCAACAGGTTTCAGTATATGGCGGACAGAGGCAGATTTCTGAAATGCCCGTTTAAACAGGTCTGCAAGAAGAAACAAACTATTTGCAGCACAATATAACCAAATGTTTTACTTAGTGAGCAAACAGGCATACACATGCAAACCGTAGATATAATAATTAGCAAACAGGATCTAACAGAGAAGCTGGTAAGACTTTTATTAACGTAAATACTTGAAAGTACCAACATGAAACAGGCTGGTCAATAAATGTATATTTCAAGGGAAATCTAGTAGCAGTCAGGTCTTGTAACGCATAAAGGACTTTTTTGTAACCACTGACAAAAATGTAATATATATAATATATATAGCCTGTTAAAATAAAAACCAACCATAATAATATGCAGTGACAAAGAGCATGCAGACTGAATACAATCTGTTTAACAAAGTAACTGTAATTGGTTGTTAAAGGAAAACTGTAGTGTATTTTTTATTAAGTACAAATTATTAGTTATTTTCATACTGGAAACATTTATTAAAGGGATTCCACATTTTTACTTACATGGTGTTCCATATTTTTATCACAGTATTTTATTTGTAAATATTCCTTCCAGTGGATCCACACCAGCATCATTGCCTGGTGACTACTCCTAAGCTCAGTCATCCTTATTAAGGCTGGGTTCACACCTGGGCGTTCCTAATAGGCGCGTTTTAAGCACGTTTTTTGGTCCAATGAAACGCACGTTTGACGCGTGTTTTTTAACCTTCCTGGTGGTATGATCTTTTTTTTTCTTTTAAACTTCTCGCCGGTTCCGCCCCCCTGCGACGTGGACGCTCGCAAGGGACAAAACCCAGAAGCCGGCAGCGGGCGGAAGACGCAGCGGGGATCGCGGACAAGGTAAGACCAACGCTGTATTCCCGAATGTGGCTCGGGGGTTACCCCTTTGGTACAGAAAATTAAACCCTCGGGAATACCAATGGATACACGCTGAAATCTGCCCCTACGCACGAAAAAGAAGCTCAGGTACTTTTTCGCACGTAGAGCGTTTTCCAACACGACAAAATGGGCTGAAATACGCCCAGGTGGGAACCATGCCCATAGGGAATAATAGGATTTCACTTGAGCGTTTTTCAGCTCTTCGAGCAGCGCTGAAAAACGCCCAGGTGTGAACCCAGCCTAAGAGTCTATTGTTTTCAGCCAGGTCAGACCTGACTCATGCACCGAGACAGAGGCAGTGTAGTATAGTCGTTAAGCCGTACATTTCAGCAAGCATGAATATGCTGCATATTCAATAGGCAATTGTGACAACCTCCATATACACTGAGATTAATAAAGTATGCAAACTCTAATTTTAGCAGTGAACTTACTTTTCATGGGCAGGTTGTTCTGTGGGGATGAGCTTGGAGTGGCCACAACAGACAGCTCATGATTTTCGGCAAGCTTTTTGCTAAGAACTTCCCGAAATAAGATTCGGATCATATGGACACCCCACAGATGTTGAAGCTGCTTGGTGAGTAAAGGCATCGACTCATTGAGACTGGAAAAAATACACAGGAAAAAATTTAAGTTCCTCTATACCAGGGGTGGCAAACACAAGGCCCGCGGGCCGAATCCGGCCCGCCGGACCTTGTAATGTGGCCCGCACAGCAGCCACCTCATTTTACCATGTCTCATGGCCCTATGTCCCCCGATGAATTTGAGTTTGCCACCCCTGCTCTATACAATGAAAAGTCATTTAACAAGAAAAAATTGAGTCGAACTGTGTAAATAAATGAAGAAAGAAAAAGACTGAATGGACTCAGAATGATAGACAGGAGAAAGGAAAAAAGTCAGTGTCAGAGAGGTATAAGTGGAAGGGTGGCAAAAAAGTAAACAGTGGTAAATGAGAAGGGGGAATAAAGAACTGAAAGTTGAAGGAAGCAGGTGAGAAAAAAAAAAGGGAGAACCTCCTAAATGTACATCTTTTTTTTTTTTTTTAAAGCTATTAAATCATTATAGGGCTGAAGCTTGTAATAAAACAACATACCCATAATCAACAGTCTGGGAGAACCAGCCCAACACAGGGTGCCAGTGTGTGAGGTTGGATTTCTTCTGTGATACATACTGCTGACAGTATGATAACATCTGAGTAAGGACACTGACAAAGTGACCCGTTTCTTCTTCCAGCACTTTCTCAGTAAGGTGTCCAAGGTGAATGAGGTTACCTATAAAAAGTGGAGAGGTGATACTGATCTGAATAAAAAAGGCAGGAGAACTTCAGTCAAACATTACCATGCCTACCTTCTGCTAGCAAATTATTGCAAATTAAATTAAATGTAATTAGAATTAAAACATAAGTCTGCTAAGCACAAATAGTATGTACAATGGTCGCATAACAAAACACGGTAACCTAAAAAAAACAATCCCTGAAAAAATACAAAACCAAAAACAGTAAAATGTTTCTACCTGTGGATTGATGCTCCACACTGAGCATGCTATAACTAAGCAGATCTGACCCAGGGATGTTGTAAGCAAGCATGAAGTAGAGGGGTGTGCTAAGACATAACATTTCTCAGGACAGTATTACCTACTTAGCTAGATGAAAATGAAAGAGTTAAAGTGACATGAAACTCAAGATTTTAAAAAAATCACATTCAAGTATTTATTCTTATCTTAAAAAAAAAGGACCTTATGTGGCTCTCCGCTTCTTCCAAATCTCCAAACGTATTTTCTCTTGCTGCAGCGATCTGACTTCCACTTAGAGGGTTACTTTTGTTCTCTATGGTCCCACTGTATGTGGGAACGTAGCTACCCTTCCTTGCTCGCCCCTGAGATGCACAAGTTTATATACAGACGCACTCAACATCAACATGCATCCTCACCTCAGTCCTCCCCTCAGCCTAATCACTGCCCACACATCTCTGGTCCCAGACTTTTGACTGAAAGCAGAACTTAGAAAAACAGCTGGCCCTTGGTGCATGAGTGTAGGGGGAAAACTAGCACTGCTGAACCTTAATTCTGCGCAGTAAGGTAGGAAGGCATTCAGTACTATACTATACAGTACTATTTGTAGCAAAGAGCAGTGCACATGACCACAATTTACGTGCACTGCTCCTTCAAAGGTAAAAAGGAGACATTCGGGAGTGAACAGAGGAGACATTCGGGAGTGCACAGAAGACATTAGAAAGAGCCAGTGATTTTGGCACTGATGGCAGTAAGCCGTGATTTTATGAAAAATATATATATCAGCGTCATTATGTAGGTGATGTTCATGGATCAATGTTTGAGAGGAGGCATATCATTCAGTGTCACTTTAAAGTGTTACTAAACACAATATCAATAAATATATATTTAACATTCAATATCTTGATTTGTACCAATCTCCGTCTCTTCTAATGGCAGTATTGGACAGCACATTCCACAAAATACATTTAAAATCAATTAGGCTCCAACTTTCTATATGAGCGTGGCTAAGTTCAGTCTAAATGGTTCCATTGTATGTGGGAATATAGCCAGCCTCCTGGTCACTCTATTAAGATGATCCACATTAATACACGCAGACGCAGCAAGCACCAGAGTGTAAAGGCACAGGAAAAACCACCCACTGTTAAAATCTTTGGCGGCAGGTGCTTGTAAGAGGTACCAGCCTCAATACGTGAATGCAGGGACGAATGCACATTAGAATCGTTAAGCACATTGACTACTGGGAATTTTAATTTGAGTAGTGTGGTGCAAGTAACCACAATGTACATGCACTTCTCATAACCACAAAGTGGAACTAAAAGATAAAGAACTTCTGTGACGGGGTGCTGGAATAAACTGTTTTTATTTATGGTGCAGCATTTAGTGACACTTGTAGGTAGTGATATTAGCAGCTCATTATTTTAAAATAATGACATTTTAATTATACCTAAATCTAGATGTGCATGACTCACTCTGTTGCATAAATGTATTAATATAACATATTTTCTGTTTCATTAATTGTCAAAATATGCTGTATGTTAGCAAATGTATACTCGTTAGTGGATGGGGTCATATTTGGAGTCAGTACCTATTCCTCAGAACAGTAATTTATGCCACTGTGTAAAGTTTGGTCTAAGATCTGTAATTTTTATTTTCTGTACTTTGTTTTGTCATTGCAGGTTTAACAATACAATTATTAGTTTGATAATAATATAATATATAATATATATTATTATATTATAAGATAATCACAAAGGAAGATGGAGAGCACAGTGTTGACACACATTAAAGAGTGAACTTATTGTAAACCAGAGCTATAGAAGTACAGAAGAGTACCGTAAGTCAATATTGTTTAAAATAGAAATATAACGTGAGAGAGCTAAGTAGTCTGATAGGTACAGAAAAAGAAAGAGTGGTAGTGGACAGCATAGTGTACAGAGGAGAGCCACAAGAAACATCAGCAGAAGGGGTGCTCTAATAACAGTGGATGCAAATAGCCAAAATGTGAGCAGAAGATAGTTTAACAAAATCACCGAATGCCATTGGTCCAGAGAAAAAAGCAGTTTAACAAAACGGGAAAAGAAAGGATGAGCTGCAGAGGATTGCAACACACAACAGACCCTAGCTGCTTGTGACCTTAAGACAATTCAGCTGATGACACTAGGGCTGCAACTAACGATTATTTTCAGAATTGATTAGTTGGCCGTTTATTTTTTCGATTAATCGGATAAAAAAAAAAAAACATTAATAGCATCTTTTATTTAAAATAAAATACACAAATGATGGGGTGTTACAAACATAAAGTTTACTGCAAAAAAACAAACTGCATGCACAATTTTTCCAATCGCACCACACTGGAACACTCAGCACTGTGGTACCGCGCATGGTACCGCTACTGATTGACAGGCAGTGGGCGGGTGCAATAGCCAGCCTGCTATTGGCTATTTAAAATTGCAATAGCCAATAGCAGACTGGCTATTGCACACACCCCATGCCTCCGAGTCTCTCCGATCGTCCAGCAGTGCCTCACGTGTCCTGACCGCCCCCCCCCTCCTCAGCATCTTTCTCTCTATAGTGCCTGACAGTAGCTAGTCTGTGTCTCTTCCGATGCCCACTGCCTCTGCCGATACAGGTGGGGGAGAGCAGCGGGATCAGACATGACAGGCTGCAGTGGGTAGGAGAGCAACAGCTCAGAGGCGAGTCAGTGGTGGTGGCGGCTGAGGGGGGGTGTCGATGGGAATGGCTGAGCAAAGTAGTACCGAGTGGCCGGAAGGGGTGGGGTTAAAGGATGAGCAGAATTGCGGCAACTGAGCAGAGTTGTGGCAGCGGTGCATGTGCAGGGGAGGGAGGGTGCGGCTGAGCTGAATCAACTAATCGGAATCAACTAGTTGTTGCAGCCTTAGAGGACACTGAGGTGGAATTTGAGATTCTGAGATGCTGTGGAGAAAGATATGGACATTGAAGATGGACATATCAGAAGCGTAGGATATGAGCCTGCAGGGTGTGGCCCAATAAAGGAACACACAGGGAATAGAAGGACACAATAGGAAATGTGAAAAAACTGAGGACTGCAGGGTGTGGCCCAGCATTGAAGCACACAGTGCAGGGAGTGATACAAAGGACTTTTGGGTACGTGATCTGTTCTCCATGCAGAATAGAAGTTTGAATAACATGTTCGTATGATGGAAAAAAATAGTGCAGGAAACAGCAAGGAAGACAGCTTTCTGGAATAGGGAAGCTGAGGGACTGAAAGGGATATCACAGAATGAATGTAAAAGTATATAGCCAGCTGGTATAGGGACATGGAGAAGGAATCCTGAAAAACTTTGGAACACAAAAATACATGGGCCAGAGGAAATTGAATACAGTTGGGAGTAGGCAGTAAGCATAACACAGAGAAAAGATATGGCTACATGAAAATGGAAGATCACAAGGCTGCAAAACTTAAATTAAAAACAAAAGGGCACCCATGATGAGACAAAAGGCCAAAGATGAGACCAAAAGTGAGTTACAGAGAGCTGGCATGGCATGGAGACACCACTATGCAAAAGGGGATAAACATGTGAGTAAAGCAGTGTTAACAGTGGAGTGGAGTGGAAAGATCACACAGCCTAGAAAAGAGTAGTAGCGGGGGGCGGTTTGGGGTTGGAGGATGGACCAAAGCACAGGGTGTAGAGTGGGAGGTAGTGCATGCTTCCTATGGGTATACAGATTACTGACATGTCAAATGACCATTACCTAGCAAGCAGAGAGTGTGGCTTCCTTCCAGGCACACACATACATCTCTGCACTGCTCTTCTCGACTCAGGAACAAAATGAATTTATGAAAGAGCCCATTGGATTCTATTACAGCCATCCGCTAAAATGACAAAGATAAAATAACAAAATAATTATTTTTTAATTCAGATTTTCTTTTTACGGTCAAATAGACCATCAATATATTCACCAGTATTGCTTATAGGACTTACATCTGGAGTGAGAATAGACAGGTGTGCAATTATAGCTGGTACTGACATTATGTGGATCAGGAATGAGCGAAGAAGATTGTCAGAAAACTGAGCAGCCACTACAGGACTAGGGAAAATCAAAGAGAAATACATTACTATGGCAATTAGAAGAGTTAAAGATACATATATGGATAAACAGGCAGACAGATAATAGAATGGGAATATAATGTCAACATTAGCCTCATTTATACTCCCATCACAAAAAAAAACTGCACCTAGTGCCCATCTTTGATAGGTGCTTTGGATCCAGAGTTAGTGTGGTAGACAGTGCCATCCCCACACCAATGTCTGACCACACACCTCTGTAGGAGACAAAAAACTAATCAGAGCAGATTGACAGTGCTGGTCCCTGGCAGCAGGTGCATAATTGTGCACCATCATTCATCACAGCAGGCGGAGGGGGTCAGCATATATCACAACACAAGGACTTATGATAGTTAATGGTTAACATTCCCCTGAATTTAGCATGGATCACAGCACAAGGACTTACAATAGTAAATGCTGGCTGCTGGTAAACATTCCCCCACACTTACAATAGTAAAGTATCAGTCAGTGCTCAAAAAGCTGTGTAATGGATCTACCTGCAGCTACTAAACACCCACTGCACTGTGCTGAGGATGTTTAGTAACATTTATAAATTGGGCTTCAGTCTGGGGTGGAGCTGACAGCTAGGAGAAACAGATAAAAATAGGTGTTTGTAGAGCAAAACCACAGCACAGATCAGAATGGAACCTAGTGCTAAATGTGCTTGGTCCCCTGGGGGATTCAACAGGGATTTTTGTGATACGTGCAAATACAACTGGAAGACAGGTGTGGGGAATGACTGGACACTGTTAATAAAACTAAAGGAAAGGGGGAATGGGTGTTATTAACTTGTGTAAATACTACTCAACTGTTGATGCACTCAATATATTGACTGCAAATCGAGGTGCAATTTAACTTCAAATATATATAATCAGCAGTTTTTTCTCTCTCCAGGTGTCTAAATATTATCCAATGACTTTCATGATGCAGAAACTGGCCATGGGTACTAAATCTGAATAGCGCTGGTACCCTAGTCCAAATTTGGCAAGGATAAGGAACTCACAGGTGGGTAAAACTTACTCAGTGCACTAACTCTTCAATCCCTAGAGTCTCAGAGGAAAAATAAAGACCTTAAAAAAGGCATACAAGATGTCAAGTGCTGGTATTGTTTCAAATGTAACTGTGTTAATATTCACTGGGAACGTGTACTAATAAAAGCCTACAGCTTTGCAGCCAGTAAATAGTTGACAAAAACAGAAGAAATGCATCAATCTTACCGCAATGCTAGGGAAAATACGGCTGTTAAAGTGGCCTTGGAAAGAGATGGGCGTGATCGTGCCAGGCCATTAGTGAGAAGGATCTGCAAGGAACAATTCATATATCATTCCATTTTCTAGACAAACTGTTAATTACTTGTAAAGCCTAAAATATGCAATCATGCAATCAAATGAAACTAAATATAATGATTTGGGGAAAAAATTACCATTTTCAGGCTGAACTCCAGTATTGCAAAGTCTGATTCCACTTCCTCCCCAGCCTGACTGTCCCTGGCCTTCCCCTTTAAGTAACTGGATTTCAGTTATTTTAATCATGGGGGCTCAGCATCACATGCATGTGGGCATTAGCCTGGGTTCACACCTGGGCGTTCGTAATATGCACGTTTTTGACCGCGCCTTTTTAGCGCGATTTACATCCACGAAACACGCGTTTGACGCACGTTTACGAAATCTCTATTTAGAAGTCCAATGGATATGCGCTGAAATCTGCCCCAAATAAGCTCAAGTACTATTTCTCGCGTAGGGCGTTTTTCAGCGCGACAGAACACGCTGAAATACGCCCAGGTGGGAACCATGCCCATAGCAATTAATAGGATTTCACTTCTTGAGCGTTTTTCAGCAGTGAAAAACGCCCAGGTGTGAACCCAGCCTTACAAATGCAGTCTACCCAGGAACACCCACTTCTCCAGACTGATACATACCCATCAAAGCATTTTCATATTTGCATAAATCCTCTTAAGAAGCAACCCACAGCATCAGGGCCTGAGGGGCCTTTAGAGGAGTACTAAGGCAGGATGCTTTGACAGTTTCAGGAAGCACTGTGCAGCACCTTGTATACCCCTTCCACAAGCCTTGACCTACCTCCATTGCATAGAGAACCACAGAGACCCAGGGATGACATCACTGGGTCTAAAATAAGGTATATAATTAAAAGGGAAAGTTTTTTGTTTTTTCTAAATGTCACTAGCATGTTGCTGAGTGAAATGGAGAAACCAGGGAAGCCAAAAATAAAAGCAGATTAAGCTTCAGCTTTTAAAGTGACACTAAACTCAAGAGTTAGATGTTAAAAATGCATTCAAGTACCCTAATTATTAACATAAATGTAGCTTTTTTCTGTATCACTTGGTTGTAGATCCTCAAATCATCTCTGAATTGGTGCTGACACTGTCCTTCCTTCTGGAGGGTGGCTACTTTTCTTCCTCATGGTTCCTGTGTGTGTTGTAAAGTAGCCACCTCTCCAAACTCATTCCTGTGATGGACTACAATCTCAATACAAATTAGTAAACTAAATGTGAGATTGTAGTCCATCACAGGAATGAGTTTGGAGAGGTGGCTACTTTACAACACACACAGGGACCATGGGGAACAAAAGTAGCCACCCTAGAGAAGGAAGGACAGTGTATGCATGAATTCTGAGAGGATTTGAAAATCTAGAGGTGAGTGATACACAAATAAGATACATTTTTGTTAACGAGTATGGTACTTGAATGCATTTTTAAGGTTTAAACTACTGAATTTAGCGTCACTTTAACAGAATTCACATATTCAGCCTTTGTTGGATAACAATCTTACCGTAATCTAGATGGCAATACACCAAAGGCATGGAATACCAGGGTCAGGGCAGTATAATAATGTATTTTATTAATTTGATCAGGTTACCGTTTCTACTGCTTCCAGTTGTTTGATTTTTGAATTTCTGTTTGTGCTGCTTTTGATTTATTATTCATTACATACTTACTACATGTGTTACTTCTGTAGAATCTTCCTTTAAAAAAAAAAAAAACTATCTGATTTTATTTTTAAACAGCTTTCTTCTCTGAAATAGGATTTTGTGCTCACCATAAAACTATTTTCTTGGGAGTCCACTGAGGGACACTGGAATACTTTAACCTTCGAGTTATACTACTGCATACAGAACTAAGAGACACTGGAAAGCAAAAAACTGTATGCCAGCCCAGGATAATGCCTCCTGCAACTAGCATGCCTCCTTTTTGTAGCAAAGCAGTATCAAGAGAATAATTATAAACACAGAGAGGAGACTCCAAGAAAAGGATTTTACAGTGTCCAAAAAAATTTTTTCTTATATATTGAGGAACACAGGGTGTCTTAAACCTTTGGGATATCAAAAATCAGTCTTACTGAGGAGTGGGCAACACGGCAAACACTAGCAGACCCAAGAAAAAAAACAACAGGACTGCATGCAGCTCAAGAGTTGCCTGAAGAACTTTATGCCCGAAGCTGGCAGCAGATGAGGCGGAAACATCCAGGGCCGGCCTTAGGGGTGTGCGAGCTGGCACAGGGCGCCACGGCAACAAAGGGGCCAGGCGGCCGACAAAGCTCGTCCTTGGGGCGGCTTCTCTCCTACTCACCGCTGGCCATCCGGCATGACAGCGCTCCCTCGTCCGCCGGTGGGGGGCGCAGTAGGGAGCTCTGCCTGCTGTCAGGATGGAAGAGCGGTGAGGGGGAGAGAAGCCATGCCGGCAGCTGTCAGGATGGCCAAGCGTGGAGGAGATCGGAGCCGCTGTCATCCTGTCAGTTTCAGGATGACATCGGCTCTGTGCGTGGCAGAGCGGGGATCGGTAAATATCATTGATACTTACCGATCCTCCGAGTGAGAAGGACAAACACTGGAGCGGTCGTCTGATCACTCCAGTGTTTGTAAATAACTGGGGACACATAGTACTATGTGTCCCCAGTTATGAATGAACAGGCTGTGATTTACATTACCTCCTGATCATTCAAGATTTCCTCAATGAATGGGAAGCCTCTGTACTGAGTGCTATCCATTCATTGAGTGCTGAGGCTGCATAAAAAGACATTGAGGATTTGGTGTCCTCAATTTCTTTTCCATTTTAAAAGGGAAATGTCAGCGGTCTGTTTGGACCCCTAATATTTCCCTGAAGCCACCCCCCCCCCATTAATTTTACATGTAGTCTGGGTTTTGTGTTCTGGTTTTTATTTTGACTTTTTCTAGATATACTTACTTGAAAAAAGGACCGGCATGACAACCCGACACTTTATTTTTATAGACTTTATTTTAGTTTGACATTTATTGTTTGCCTTCTGTTGTTTTATTTGATAAGAATACTTATATTGTGCCGACAAGTTTAATACCTTTGAATAAAAGTTTTATTTTGATCATACTTTTTTAATATATTTTTGTTTGCGGCTTAACAAAATAGGAGTCTTTAAATGGTGCGGATATTGGGGGAAATGGGTGTGGCTACTGGGGGGGTGGCCACTGAGGGGCGCTGTAGAGCTTTCTCGCACAGGGTGCCCTAAGGCCGGCCCTGGAAACATCCACCTGGAAGAACTTGTAGAACGTGTAAACAGAAGACCAGATGGCATCCATGTAAGTCTTAGAAACAGTTGCCTGATGTAACAAATCCAAGAAGCACTCATGGATCTAGTAGAGTGCGCCTTGACAGGAAAAGGTGAAACCCAATCAGAGACCATAGGCTTGGATGACAGTCTGTCTGAATCACCTAGAAATGGTGGAACAAGAAGCTGGCACACGCTTTCAGGGTCCATCCAGAATGACAAAAACGAAATCAATTTTTGTGAAAGAAACAATGACTGAGAGATAGACTCTCACAGGCCAAGCCAAATCCAAACAATAGGAGGGAAAATTTCCCTTTGGTGAACTTCCAGACAAAGGTATGGAAGAACAATGTCCCCGTTAAGGTAAAAGTCAAAAACTACCTTAGGCAAGCAGGAAGTCCTGGGATTCAGCACCACCTTGTTGCTGAACTTGGAGGCCAGAATGTTTACATCAAAGGTTTAGAAATCCAAAAGTTGACTAATTTCCTCTTAACTATACTCCTCAGGCACTGGTTGATAGTTCTAATAGATGTATTGTCTGTAGAAAAAGACACCACAGACCTATGCTGATCCAGGCCACTGCATCAGTCAGTGTTGCTAACAGCACAGCCAGTACTAGCTTCTATCCAAGGAGGGAGTTCTGATTCTTACAGGGAAGCCATAACAACCACTACAGTTTTGGGGAATAGGAGTACATTATTGTATGCAGTTAAGAAACACTAGTCAATGCTATAGTGAAGTACCTGTAACACTGAGTAAAAGCCTTTTTGATTGAGGTGACCCATTATGTTTGCACAGATATGGTTCATTGCAGGTCTCAAGCTTTCTCCTGAAATAAAACACAGATTGGTTGCAACTATTAGAAACATAACAATCTCAGTAAAATACTAGCTAATGCTAAGTGCATTTGCACTTAAAAATAAAAACAAAACTGTTAACAATTCAGATAACATGCTAAATTGGAAGATCAGACGGAATTGTAACATTGTTTGTTATGGCTAAATCCACAAATCCTTGTGTTTTCTTAGCCATTGCTAGACTTTTACTATTCGGAAATGTGTCCCTCGCAGGTGAACAGAACATTCTGCTAAACAGAGCCTTCTGGGCCTAGGCAGGACTCAGGATACTTGTCCTAAGGGAGGATTTCAAACCTTATACAGTAGGCAGACAATGGTGGTTAGAGCTTTCACCTTTGAGGCACATTTTGTCTACAAGGTCCAACAGTTATCTCAACGGCTTACTTAGGATATAACAGTTTGTAAAGCGCTGCACAATCTGTTGGCACTATATAAATTCTATATAATAATAATGATAATAATAATAACAGAATTTTTTTTAGGGACTGCCCTGTTTAAATTACTTTGTTCCAGACTAAAAACATATAGGGGGGAATTTATCAGAACTGGAGCAGACAAAATCTGGAGCAGATTTGCACTGCAGCCAATATGCTTCTATTTCTCATTTTCAAATCTCAACTGAGCAAACTAAAGAGAGATGCTGATTGGTTCCCATGGGCAACTGCTCCAGTTACTGCCTGCTCCAGTTTTGATAAATTCCCCCCACAGAATTTTATTTTTTCCTTTTGCTTTAGTCAGGTACATATGAAATATTGCATTTTCCATTTATATTTACCGCATGTAGCCAGCAGATCGCAAGAATACGGCAACAGGCAACCTAATAACCAAGCTGACGTAATTGTACGTTTTAAATAGTCCATGCTGTGAATGGACCAAAATAAGATAGGTGCACACTCCCTCTTTGTGTACTACTGCCAGGGAGGGAAACTTTTGCATTTTTTTAAATCCACAGATCTACTGCTGGGCTTTCTTATTAGACGATTATAGCTTTGAATTCAAAAATAACCTAGAGTGTGCAGATATCTTTTACCAGAGAATAAATCCCCCCTCGTACCCAACATTATATGCAGAAGCATTGTTAAAAACTAAAAACTCACCTTTCCCTCTAAATATGTTCCAGGTAGAGGTGTCTGTGAAGTTGACCAGCATAGTGAGGTAGAGGGTGATCAGTTTGGAGTCCTGCAGAATGTCCGGCTGAATAAAGGTTAAGAAGATTATCATTATCTCATACATACAGTATATGTTCTCATGCATCAAGAACTCCCTCTTGTAGCTTTGAAATGTATAAAAATATGTCCCAGGGCAAAAAGACTCACTTTCAGTGACTTCAGAAACTCACAGCAAATCCACAAGATGTCTTTAATTTGCTTTATCCACAAAAGAGTAAGGTCTTTGGACAGTGCAAGAGACACAAACCAAACCTGCAAGACAAATACCGGTTACAAGTAATTGCTTTTTGTCCGTCTCTTTACCCTTCATACTATTTGTATCTATTATAAAATAAAACTAATAAACAAATGTTGCTGTGCATCAACTAAGTGAAATACTTACATAAATATGTACAGCAAACATATTTTATACAAACATTTTATTGTTTAGAAATAAAAATGGTTGACTAATTAAGAATAGTATATTCTGTACACTGGAAATGGCAAATGACTGCTACAACCCTGAACGATTTTCATCAACAATTCAAAAAGTACCCTTCAAAATAGATAAGTAGAGATAAATAGACAATGATTTCTTAAATTGTAGCTATTTGATCAAAACAAATTATTCCTAAGACATTTATCCAATTTTTTCTTAAACTAAATCGAAATTTAATCACTTTAAAACCTCATACAAACTTTAACATGGTAATGTAATTCTAAAACACGTTCGGAATCTTTTTTTAATTTTTAATATGCAGCTTTCATTATAATAATTCTTGGAAATCCTGCCATGAAGGTCCTTGTTCAGACACTTCGTGTTATAATAACTGTCTCCCAATTGTGTTCCTGTGCTGTCACACTGTCACATGCACCCCGGTGGGGCAGTCCACCTTTGTCTGAATCATATTGCACCACATTGCATGGTACTATGCAATGTGGTGCGATACAATATACATGTGATGGTTAGTTGTGTTGGGGTGCCATAAAGAAATAATCACAAGAAGTATTGATAAAAATGGGTTTAGAATACATGCCTTGGGCTCATTCTCACAGTCCATACTGATAAGGATGCACCGGCAAAGTTTTTCAAATCTCTGTAAAATTACATAAATATGTGTAAGAACAGATGCAGGGGAGAAACTTGTAATTAATATATCAAATAAATAAATTATTAGTATCTGCATGGAAGTAATTCATCATTAATACTAAGAAGCACCATGACCAGGTTTACAACAATTCCAGGCGTCGACTGAAAGCAATCAGTGAACTGCTAATGATGAATTGCAAACACTGCAACTGTACTGAATCAGAAAGTCCACTCAGTTTACCATGATCTTTTCCCTGTTCTGGGATGGAGGAAGCTACTTAGATGAGTCATGTGTCCCTTTAGCAGGAGTAAGTGGACATTGCTTGGGTGCTCTCAGGCTGGTGCCATACTGTAGAAGCTGGAATGTAGCCAGCTTTTATGTCTTGGGTACTTATTCTGACCGTTCTTCACCATCTTAGATGGTAGAAAATGAGGAAAGCACCGATACCGATACTAGTGAGTATTTAAGCGAGTACTCGTACTTGCCCCAAATGCTCCCGATACTTATCCCGATACCGGAACTTCCGGTATCAGGAAGCCGGTGGCAAGTCATTACATGCTGCCCCCAGCTTCCTGTTTGGCTGGGAAAACGGCTCCATGCTCCCTCGTCACCAGGGAGCATTGAGCTGGCTTCCTGGCCAACCAGGAAGCCGGGGGGCGGGGAATTACTCACCCCCCATCCCCCCCATGCGGCCTTGCAAACCTGGGAAATAGAGGCATGATGACCAAGACGTGCCCACATCCCTGGTGGACTGACCCTTGACTGGAAAGAGGGTACCCATACCTTAATATCTTAAACCTGAACAATGGTTTGCCTGAGCTACCTAGAAATGGTGGAAGAGGAAGCTGGAACACCCTTCCTTGGTCCACTGAGGTTGACAAAAAATCTGTAATACGAAAAGATGATGTGGATGAGTGATAAACTCAGACAGCCTAGACCACATCAAGGCAATGGAGGGGGATCTGCTTCTGGTGAACTGCAACTGGACACAAGGATGGAAGGACAATGTCCTGCTTAAGGTGAAAAGCATAGACCACCTTAGGAAGGAAGGCCTAGGCCTCAACACAACCTCTGTGCAGGACCAAAAAAGAGTTCCTTGCAGGATAAAACTGCCAGTTCAGACACTCGCCCAGCTGAGTTGATACCTACAAGGAAAACTACTTTGTGGGTCGGAGCAGAGACATAAATGTCTCTGTTGTTCAAACAGGGGCTTCTGAAGCACTGAAAAGGACCATAAATAAATGGGATTTGACTAGGGGAGCAACATGGGAAACCCCTTGCACGAAAGTCTTGATTGGAGAGTCACTGGAACAGAATGTCAGGCGCAGAGATCTGGCCCCTGATGGTACTAATGGTCCAGACACAGCAGGAAAGAATAGATCTGTCCTAGAAAGAAACTCCTGGGGTAAAAATCCCTAGACTCACACCAGATGAAATACGTCCTCCACATCTGATGAAAGACCTTGCAAGAAGTAGCAAGCATCGATGGTGTAAGAGATGCCCCTGTCCCTTTAAACCTGCTTCAACTGCCATACTGCTAAAGCATGGGATGGAGAAGCCAGGAAGGCGAATCAGCCCTTGGGACAGCAGATCGTGAAGATCTGGCAGAGCCTATGGTGCATCTGCAAGAAGTCATACAATACTGGCATACCACGTTCTCCTGGGTCAGTCCAGGGGTACGACCGGCATGAGTACCACCGGCATGCCCTCCATGAGTACCACCGGCATGCCCTCCATCTCAATCCTGCAAAGGAGCTGAAGACCAATCTTCACAGGCATAGATCAAATTGTAGTGATCCCACAAAGCCACAAGTGCTGCCACCACTGATGCCAGCAAATCCCTGGATGCAAACCTTTCAAGTTTGTTGTTTAATCTGGGGGCCAGAAGGTTCTCTACAGCCTCCCTTTCTGTATATTTCATTGCCTGCAGCTACTTACAATTCAGGGGTAATGTGTGTATAAAGAGTACATAACGTTTTAGTTTTTTTCAGAATTCTGCATTCTGTTTCAAATACTTGATATATAGAGTTATATCAAAAATATGCTTTATAAGGCAACTAGGAAAAGAACACCTACCACTCTGTCCACCTGTAGTCTGAATATTATCAACAGTTTACGAGCTGTTCGAAAAATGGAAAGAGCATTGGACTTGACTGTTCCATTTTCTGCGCCTTCTAAAAAGACATCCACTTCTTGTCTGCGTTCAGTGTAAAAGAAAACAAAACAGAACAAAAAGACTTTATAGATAATGCTGTAATGGACTCCAAATTACACACTGCCTTATCACAAGGCTTCTTCAATAAAAAATAAAACAATAGTACCTGATTTCTCTCTGCAGCCGACATCTGCACAGGAATCGTCGAATAAGAGCTTGGATTTTTACTGCAGCTTTCTCTCTTTCTTTGAGGCCTTTTCTCTCTTCACGCAGCTGCCTTGCCTTGTCTAAGAACTGGTCCTTTGTAGCCTGAGATGCCCCAAACATTTTTGAAAACTGTGGAAGAAACAAGCCATAACATTTAGTCAAATTCTGGTATTACCTAAATAAATTGACTCTGTTGGTTTATTTATTTTTTTAAATTATTGATACTTACCTGACTAGAGGACTCCTAGCTTCGCTTTGCCGAAGAGCTAAGTCTGCAGCATCCAGTACATGTCTGGGTGTGTTGGAAGCCTGGTCCCCCACTGAATTCCACCTAGGGGCCCCTATGCCACTAAAGGACACACGTTTTTTGCGAAGGAGTTGCTATGAAAAGGAAAATTGCAGTTTATTTAACTGAGCCGACATTCTGGGTGATAGCAGCATTTTTGTTATTGTATTAAAGTCACTGTCACTTTTTTTTTTTAACTCTGGTACATACATCAAGGTCTTCCTGCAAGGGAAAGGATTGATACTTATCCTTCCAGGCAACCATGCCACTGAAACCCACTGTCAGCAGAAAGTTGGCTGGCTGAAAAACCTTCAGCATCTGGCACATTCAGGAGTTTCAGATGCCTGGTCCCCCTCTATGTGTTTTATGTCCTTCTTATAACCCTTATGTCACTGCAGGACACAGGACACTAGAAGAAGAAACCACAAATGTGGCTTCACGATCATTGTTACCCAAATGTGACCTTGACAGTTTTTGATACATACTAGGGCACTGACAGGTTAACAGACAGTCTACACAAATCATAAACACATAATACAAACTGGTGTTGTGGGAGGGAAAGGCCTCCAACATAGTGCAAGCTAGATATTTAGTTATCTGTGTGTATGTCAACAAATCCTTTTTTTACAAAATGAACGCTGGAATTCCACCCAGAGATTAAAAAAGGGAATACTTTACTGTTTAATGGCCTGGAGTGCTTGCAATCAGTCAAGGGCCCATGAATTGCTGTTCTAGTAAGACATTTCTGTTTTCAGGAACGTTGAAATATTATGGCATGTTCTGAAGCAAACCCTTCAAGAACCACATCCCAAAATAATTAATAAACAGCAAAAGTCTTGTATATAGGAATTAACCCAAATACATTTACTTTCATTTCATCTTTATAGTTTTGTTACAATGCCCACAAAATGACCATATAAGACCACTTTCGGTACACACCTTTCTTATGCAAGACAAATATAAAAAAATACAAATTCTTTCTTTATACATAAACAGTAAAGAAAACCCCAAAGATATTTTATAGAGCTTACCTTATTCTTTCAAATACAAATCAAAAGGCTTGCAAACCACTTTGTGCCCTCTGTCCTCAGACTCGAGTTCTACAATAAACACAAGACATAACAAAAAAAAAGTTTGGATATTTAAATGACAAAGAACAAATTACTTAAAAGTGAACTATGGCCCAATCTTTTCTGGCCATAGTTATGTTTAGGTTCACCGGAGAACATATACTAATGCCCTCCTGTGATCCAAAACCTAGCATATAGCAGGCTATTGCCCACTATATGCTGACAGCGCAGAGCTGCGCTGCAGCTGGGATGGATCCCAACAATATTTTCGGGATCCACCCCACTGCCTTATTGACAGCTGGCTCGGCCTCACTAGATCCAGCTGTGCCTGCCCCCTCCCCATCCAGACAGCACCGGAGGGGGAATCCGTGCAGTCACAAATCTCTGCAGGGAGAAGATCGGAACCTAAGCAATCAGCGGTATGTGATCGCTCGGTTCCCGATCAATAGAGTCGATGTGTTGCAGCTGCAGTGTCACACGTCGACTCTATTTATGGAGATGAGTGTATTTCACTTTCCCTATAATTCTTCTTTGATTTATTTCATATTCAATATCACTTGTCTATCATTGGGGGACATGTAATGTAAACTGTGCAAGGTTTCCTAAATTTCCCTGTTTCTTGAAGAAGGAGAAGAAAACAGAGTTAGGTACCTGGTAACGTATTTTCCATGAATCTTTCAGGACAGCACAGGAGAGAGAGGTTCCACCCACCTAAAACAGAAAACACATCATCCACAATTAAAATAAAATGAGCCGTCCCTCCCAACCACATCAGTTTTATGTGTTTCCTCAGGCCTAGCAGGAAAGCATAGTGAGAATTTGTTATTATTCCTTGAGGCCAGCGTGCTAGGTGCAGGGGACTCCCAGGTATTCTTCCTGGTTCAGAGAGCCAGCAAGAATTGAATTATTTGGGAATAGTTAGGTAATAAGGAGACCCTCCCTCCCTGTTTTCTGTTTTTTTTATTCCCAGAGGTTTTTCTCCCTCCAGCGAGGGGACAGAAATCATTCCTGCAAGGTAAGGGACCCTAGTTGCCCTCAGTTTTTTCTGTTATGTCTTGAAACTTCTTATCTGATCAGGCCATGCACTCACCTTTTCCTTTGGAGAAGACATGCCCAAGCCCCTTCTTTTGTGTCTATCCTGAGCTGCCCCTTCCCCCCTCTGCGGTTTTAGGTGGGAGGAGCCTCTCCTGTGCTGTCCTGGCAGATGAATTGGGAAAAAGCTTTTTAGGCTTTTAACTTGATGCTCAAAAATCGCCACAATCCTATCTATATGGGCAGAAATGTAGATACTACCGTGCTAACAAGTGACTAGAATAAACAGTTACCTCATGCTCGCTACAACTAGATCAAATGAATGAAACATTTTCCAACTTGCCCATCTCCTTTTTTTGTTCAACCATAATAAATCAGTTAAGTGATTAATATATTTTTGTGCATGTCACCAATATCCCAAACAGTCATAAACAAAATTAACTGCCATAGGTTTATTTTTTCCCCACGACATAGTGTTTTAACTTTTTTTGATCTCCTCCAGTCTTTTCTAATCACTTTATGTCTAAAAGAACTTTTTTTTTCATTGGCTGCATTATTGATAAGGAACCACTTTCCGACAGTGACAGAGGTGGACCATGTCTGTGCAATTTGTGTCAACATGGCCAATTTTAGCATCCCATACTACGGTAATATACTAACTACTAGGTCCTACAAGGTTCAGAGTCTCCGGTTCTCCAGCAAATATTATAAACATGTTGTGCACTTTTGTGACTTACACCGATCAGCCATAACATTACGACCACCCAACTAATATTGACTAGGTTCCCCTTTTGCCGCCAAAACAACTCTGACCCGTCAAGGCATGGACTCCACTAGACCTCTGGAGGTATGCCGTGATATCTGGCACCAAGCCGTCAGTAGTAGATCCTTTAAGTCCTGTAAGTTGTGAGCTGGGATCTCCATGGATCAGACTTGTTTTTCCAGCACATCCCACAGATGCTCAATTGGACTAAGACCTGGAGAATGTAGTGGCTAAGTCAAAACCTCAAACTCATTATTGTGTTCCTCAAACCATTCTTGAACCATTTTTGCAATGTGACAGGGTGCATTATCCTGCTGAAAGAAGCCATTGCCATCAGGGAATACTATTTCCATGACAGTGTGTACATGGTCAAGAAAAATGTTTAGGTAGGTGGCACATGTCAAAAGTAACATCCACAAAAATAGCAGGACCCAAGGTTTCGCCGCAGAACATTCCCCAAAACCTCCACTGGCTTGTCTTCTTCCCATAGTGCATCCTGGTGCCATCTGATTACCATACAGTACACATAATGTAAAACAAAATGTGATTAATCAGACCAGGCTACCTTCTGCAATTGCTCCGTGGTCCAGTTCTGTTGCTCACGTGCCCACTGTAAGCGCTTTTGGCAATGGACACAGGTCAGCATGGGCACCCTGACCGGTCTGCAGCCATGCAGCCCCATGCACAACAAACTGTGATGCACTGTGTATTCAGACACCTTTCTATTGGAACCAGCATTAACCTTTTCAGTAACTTCAGCAATTTGAGCTGCAGTAGCTCTTCTATTGGATCGAACTACCTGGGCCAGCCTTTGCTCCCCACATGCATCAATGAGCCATGACCGGCAATGACCCTGTTGCCAGTTTACTAATGTTCCTTCCTTGGACCACTTTTGGTAGGTACTGACCACTGTAGACTGGGGACATCTCACAAGAGCTGCAGTTTGGGAGTTGCTCTGACCCAGCTATCTAGCCATTACAATTTGGCCCTTGTTAAAGTCAATTAAAACCTTACACTTTTTTTACAATTTTTTCTGCTTCCAACACATGAACTTTATGGATAAACCATTGACTTGCTTCCAAATATATCCCACCCACTTCCAGGTTCCATTGTAACGAGATAATCAAAGTTATTCACGTCACCTCTCAGTGGTCATAATGTTACGGTTGATCTGTGAATATTGAGGTGCAATCTGAGCCGCAGGTCAATATTTAAGAGTGCATATTATGAAGCTGCTTTCCAAGTTTCCATGAGAACATAATTGTCCTTGATATCTTAGTCACCTGGAGTCTAATGGATATCAAGCATATACAGGATTTTTTAAACTATGTTTGTGCTATTCCAAGGCTCTTCAATTGGATTATAATGCTGAGCATCTACTGTCAAGCAAGATATTGCAATAATTCATTCTAGGGAATAATTCATTCTTCATAATTTTCAAAGCAATTAGTTTTTTGGTTTAAAAATGCCAGCTTCCATTTGCATACTTTCAATGAATTTTCTTGAGGCTGAATTTTAGTAATGCAGCATGTATATTCTCCTGAAATCCACCTTAATAAAACATCCATTCTAATATAGGCCAAGTCAGAGAAACCCATCCAACATTTGTGCTGCACCGAAGAAAATGACCTCCAAAAGCCGATGGACAATTCTGATCAAAGCTAGGAAAAAACTGATTTAAAACTAAATTTTTTTTTAGTTTTGAATAGAATGGAGAAGGGTTAGAATTTCTTTTCAGTTTTAATTGCTGCTGGATCTCCACTGGGGAAATGTAGCCTCTGTTTCTGGTAACCATTATTACTTGGGCTGAAAATTATGGCAAATCCAACATTTGTAGTTGTCATCAGAACAGGAAGAGAGGATAACTTTTCCCATGATCTGACCGCCTTTCAAAAAGGCGGTCCGATCAGGTCCACCTGTCAGTTTTTCAGCCAGATGTTAGTCTATGGGCAGCCGGATCTAAACGGACAGACTTCTGCTTACATCCGATTACCCCAAAATCCGGCCAGGCCTGGAATATAAAACACAACAGAATTCCATTTTGGTAGACCTGACTGTGATGGATAAGGGGTAATCAGATATAAATGGACGCATGTCTGCTTACATCCGACTTCCCATAGAGCTTACATGGGTCTGGTAAGTTCAGTTTATTTCCTCTATCATAAGACATGTCAAATCCATTAAGGGTTTTAAACTAGACATAAACACTGTAATCAAGTTGTACATTCATTGTTCAATCGCCTTAAGGGCTTTTGTTCGCCTTAGGTGGGTCTTGCATTCTCATTCAAGCCAAAGCTGCTTGAAGCAGGTGAAATGCAGGTCAGAAGGTCAGCTGCAGGTAAAATGTGACTGCCAATGAATTCTAAATGATCTCAAAAGCATGTTAAACTGATGCCGTCAACACAAACCCAAAGCCCCATGACACAGGATCTGATAGTTAGTGATGGGCTCGGGCGTGTTTGCAAGCGCCTCGTGCCGAGCCTGCTGGGAAGCTGTCAGCGCGTAGGGCCAATCACAGACACTGAGACACTTCCCGATCTCTGCAGCTGCGGACCGGGAACATGTCTCAGTGCCTGTGATTGGCCCTGCGCGCTGACGGCTTCCTGGCTCAGCACGAGGCGCTTGCGAACACGCCCGGGCCCATCTCTACTGATAGTTACAAAAACTCTGCAATATTGGGACCTACCTGATCAATCCATTCAATTTGTAATTGACAATCCCTGTACCCTAATGGCCGGTGCACACCTAGGCGATTTGTCGCGCAAAACAGAGACTCGCATTGAAGTCAATGGAGGCTGCTCACACCTTTGCGGTTTGTCGCACAACCAAAGTCGCCTGTTGCGCGAAAAGGTCCAGGAGCTATTTTTGGGCAGTTTGGGTCCCATAGGCATCTCTATGCACTGAAAATCACACGTTTTACAATGAACAGTCACGCAATAGAAAACGCGCAAAACAGCTCGGCATCTGAATCGCCTAGGTGTGAACCTAGCCTAAAGCTGTTGGTTGAGTTAAAGTGCATAGTACAATCAGATCGTAATGTGTACGGCCAGTTTTAGGATTCTAATTCATGTCATCTGCCTATTTTTACACACTGTCTTTACACTTGTTTATATAGTGCCAAGCAGAAAGCATGCATACGAGATATAAGCTACATTCTGTATGGCTGATCTATTAGCCATTGTCTTTCACCGTGTCCTGTACAGATAGCCTTTTAAGAAGTCAGTGCCATCAGTCCTAATTACTACAATACAAGGGTTTGAGTATTTTCTAAATACATCATCTGCCTCAGCTCGTAATAGAAGTCCTACTAAAATATATTTATTAAAGAACAGCAGCTGACCTGATGTGTATAATCCCCATTTCACTACAGCAGCCTAGGTGCACGGTTAAATGACAGCTGACTGCCCTGCTAATGATAAATAAACAACTCTGGGAAGTCAGGGGTTAAGGGTCAGAGGGGGTGTCTAACCTTATAGGGGTACAATATGTCCTAGATCTCCCAAAACAAGAGCCACTCCCGGCTGCAGACAAGAACTCCAGCTGCCTCTGATCGGACTGTTTTCGCAAGCGCACCAAGTGAGGGCGGAAACACGTCAGGGAGCACACAAGCTGAACTGGCACGGCGCCGTGAGGAGGAAAAAGCCATGATTGTTGTGGGCGCCGTTTCTAGTCCAAGCTACTTTTTTACAGTGGTAACATTGCAATCGTGAACAGTGATGTATCCCTGATTTAACGGGCGGCTCTTACATATGTATCGTCCCTGTGAATTTGGTCTATGTGTGTTTGCCTGGCTGTCCTTGTTCATACGTCATGCCATTACACCAGACAGGAAGAGGGCAGGCTACAAGTCTGGGGACTGAGGGGGAAATGCGTCAGTGACGGGCGGAAGTGTATGAGGTGGACTGGGTGGCTCCCGTATTTTGGCCTGAGGGAAGTTTATCGGGGTTGATGGTGAGTGCTAAGGCTTTTAATTATTTATTTTTTGATTACAAGGGTGGATTGTTAGGAGGATGGCCGGCATGTTTCCCTGATACACCTCCATGAAGTTATGGAAGATGCTGAGATACAGTCTACAGTAATGAGCAGCAGGATGGGACATAGGGAAACAATGGTGTGCCTATACTCCACCGCCTCAGTGTGTTTCCCTCACCTATATGTCTAATGGTCACATATACTGCTCAGTAAATGCAGTGCAAAAAAAAAAACAGTCACCAATGGCATACCTTCCAACATTTCAAGGAGGTAAAAAGAAGGCGCGCCATACCTCCTATCTGTTCCCAAAATCATTAAAAAGCAGAACTATTATCTACTGATAATGTGCCTTCAACAGGCTAATTAAGTTTTCAAATAAGACCTTTCCATTTTCATTACATTTGACCATTTTAGTCCCAGTGACATCATTATTTGTTCTCTCTGCGTCTCTATGCAATGCAGGCTGATCATGGCAGGTGGGAGGAGTCTGCAGGGTGTTGTAAATAGCTTAATGAAAACATCACAGCACCCTTTCTCAGTACTTCTCTCAAGAGCCCTGAGGAAGCAGTGGGCAGGCTCTTGGGAGGAGTTATGTACATATCAGAATGCCTTGATAGTTTGATGTCAGTCTGGAAAGGTCAGCATTCCTAGGCCGGCTGGATTTGCAGTGTAACAAAACCAACCTAATGGATGTAAACAGGTTTACATATAGAAAAATTAGTTTAAAAAAAAAAAAAAAA